AAGTGGGCGGGGTTGGCGTCAAAGTGGGCGGGGCTTAGGTCAAAATTTCATAACTCTGTTCAGAAACGTTCTAGGACGCGTGGAAAGAGTGGTAAGAGGTGATGGAACAAACGTGGTCAAATCCTCGAAGTGGGCGGGGCTTGGCTCAAAAATTCATAACTTTGTTCAGAAACGTCCTAGAATACGGGAAAAAGTGGATAGAGGTAATGGAACAAATGTAGTCCCCGAAGTGGGCGGAGCTGGCACAGGAAAGCGGGGCTAAGACCAAAAATTCATCTCTTCAAAAACTTTCTGGAATGCGGAAAAAATGGTTCAGAGCAGTCAAAAGAAGGTTGGTCAAGTTTACCGTGGGAAGGGTTTGCACTAGGGTGGACGGAGCTATGATCAACCACTATTAACTCTGCTCAAATATATCGAGCGTGATGCTCTCAGCAGTTCAGCGATCGAATCTAGAGAGAACTATCTTATTCTGATTATCCAACATTCCGCTGAATGACTCCATCGTGGATAAGTGGCCGTCGACATATACTGCGCGCGTTAGCGTGCATAGCCAAACTGGTCCATATATAGGGCGTTCCAAAATGAGCTCTACGGCTTGGGTGTTTCGATCCACTTAACAGATTACGTCTATAAGCCGAACTTTGCCTCCGCGGCGCCACCACGATTCTGGATGGAAGTCGAGTGTGGGGCGCATCCCTTAGATGGGATTGATTAACGCTCAAAGACTATCCCTTTCGGAAAAAAGAGCGGGTTCTTCATTTGTAATCTCGAACATAAGGTAGAGTTGTACAACCAGATCAAAGAAGAAATGGTCCACCCACTAATAACAAATGCGTTTTGAACAACTTTGAAGGGTTTTGAGTGGCGTTCGTAGATAAACAAAACTTCTATTCAATTTTGAGCTTCAAAGCCGGTCCATAGTAAAACAATAACAACAGTCATGAATAAATGAACCTATGGTTAATGAGTTCAATCGACCACGAGTGAGTATGTTCGTGCCCGAGTCGGCGGTACAAAAGGAGTGCGGTGAGAAGCATCTCAGGAACCGAGCTCATCCCTAGCAACAATCGATCACCTGTGCCCTTTGTATCAGGCAAACTTTACCACGGAGATTATTCAGAGAGGTAGGATGTTCCTACGGGAAAAAACAATAAGGGGGTGGGGGGCAGAGCTATGGGCACTGAACCCAGCGGAGCCGCCGAAGGATTATTCTCACCTCGTGAGTGCATATTAATGAACGAGGCGGAATGGCTATGAATCAGAGCTCGATCTCCACTCACCACTCATCCACCTGCCGAGTCTTGTAATTAAGAATTTCCCCATGCCGAGTGTGGCTTAACAACAAAGCCTCATATTATGATGATTGCCTACATACAGGTTTCGCTTGAACGTCCGTTTTGCCGTCCCCTTTTTGAACACCAGGAAGTGCTCTAATCTGAGAATCCTTGCGAAACGCTCTCAACAGCATCTCCCATTGAATTGAATAAACTTTTGCAGAGGAAGCCAATTCCATGAAATCCTTCTTCTATTGAACGAAGAACCTCAATGGATTAGGCCTAGCCAGAAAAGGAGAACGATCGAAGCACTAACAATCTCGTCCCCATGTACAAAATTGAGTTCATCGACCACTTTCAGCCTCATTGAAATCTACGACGAGTATTCATGGATTACGACGGAACTACAGGAGGAGGAGGAGGTGAGAAGATGACCACCCAAGAAGCATAATAATTATAACATAAGGCGTAACAATGAGGAAACTCGAGTAGCAATTATTGCCTAGTGAAGGGAAAATAACATCCCTATGGCTTCAATCTGTGCTTGATTTACAATTTAACACAAGGAAAAAGAATCTGCCCATCAGTGTCAATGAAATACAATTCAAAATCAGGACTAATTGGCCGAGATTGATCGTGACTGGCTTACAAGTTGTTTTGGTCGAGGTGAATGGGGTGGGAAAGACCAGCCCACCGCCATGGAGTAAGAAGTGCCCGTAGGAGTTACATTCTGTCTTTCACAACTCACACCTTTGTTGCTAATTAATTCTTATTTTATTTTTTCTATTACTCAAGGCACAGTTCACGTGAAAAGGTTTCTGCCTTGGATGAGTCTGTGACCCCAAGGGTAATCTAGGGGACGTTGTCAAACGTGATAAAAAAAACGGCCAAGATAGGGCATGATAAGGGCCCTAAAACTGGCTTAGTTGACGTACACACCCAACGGAGGATTTCTTAAGTGTTGTGAAATCTGTAGAGGTTACACCATTCCCATCGGGACCCACACCTTACGCGCAGGCAGCTTACTGTAGCCAGTTGTGTGCAATGGAGCGCACATTCAAGCAACTCGTCCATATACCCCTTCGATGCAATTTTTGTCGTCACATTTTCATCCGACACTTAATTTTACTCTTTTTACATTTCTGTGAACACTCCGATTTTCGCTTTTCATCGCCAGTTTTGTACTAATTTGCCTATCACTTCCATTACTCGTCTAGAACTAGATACCCCAAATCACAGTGATCTATGCCTTAAAGGCTATTCAGTGAGATTTCGGCTCGTTCCTCACGGGTGATCGCGACAGGGAGTACACTTTGGCATCAACTAAGAAGGCACATTTTTGATAATTCTGTCTAAAAATAGTCTAAAGTGTATAGCTTCGGTAAAAAGAGTTGAATTACAGTAAGGTCATTACCCTGACGATACGGATCCCATCGGGCCGGGGCATCGGATCAACCCAAGTATCGGCTCCAGTTGGACCAGTGAAAGTGTTGAAAGTGTTCACTGCATGAGCGGTAAGCATCTTAGATCACTTTGTTTGTCCAATACACATACAGCTTTACTCTCAGTTTCCTGGTTTTCGTTATTCAGTTTATCTAATGAGCATGATACAAAAGTGGCTCAGTAATTATGTGGGTGGAATGTAGTAACAACAAAGGATTAGGGAAACTAGAGACCAGAGGACTGAACCTTCTATTCATTTCGCGTTGGAGGGCTGGATTCAAGACTGTACTGATAAAAGAAAAACCTCATCAGGGAATGGTTTCGAATTTCCGATGAACTTTGATGAAAGACCTAGGAACGTCGTCAGGGAAAGAGTTCAAAATACTCTTTACGAATATCAAAATCAAAAGGCTATTGAAAACTTTCGAAAAATTTGCTCTTTCTCTTCAGCGAAGCGTATGGAATTGCTTCCGTAGTAGGCAGCAAGTTCGCTTAGCGTACTTTCTTTCCGGCACAAGTTTTCGTGACATTTCCTGAGATTTATTCAAATAACTCCCCATTTTGATTATCACCTAAGTTCAAAGCACGCATGTGAGG